GGGTCCTCATATAATTAGCTATCATTCTTTATACTATGGACACATTTTCTTTTATCACCTATTTTACGGTGAGACTTTATATGTTGTCTATATCTTTATATTACGAACTCATTATGCCATGCTAATTAAGTTTAAAATAAGAACTCATTTTATTTTTGGTTTTATTTCATTATTTCATTGTCATGATACCCATCAAAATTCATCCGCTACAGATATAAAGTTGAAGATGAAATGGCAACGTTTCTCATAAATTGACTTATTGAGCAAATGGATTGTGCTTGTACGTTAGAATCAAATTATGTAGAGATTGAAATATAGGTTATAAAGTTGAAGTGAGGGTGCTGGAGATGAGTTTATTGTTGGGATGACTTGAGAAAATAAAAGGCATCTCTCAATTTATAATCTTGGGATTCTGTAACTTGTAATAAATTTCCCAATAGTGGAAGTATATGGAAGAAAATGGGATACAAGATCTATGAACTTGAGCAAACATAAATGAAGAAGCCTGTCAGAAACATATCGAAACACACTCGTTTTTGAGACGCGACATATTCATAGCCATCTTGCTCAAATTTCTGATACTTAGATCTCATTTTTCAATAAACAGCCAGCAAACGAGTCCAATAAACAGTCATACTTGCTAGAATCTTTTAGGCACTTAAAAAGAAACAGACATAGCACTGCTGAAACAAGCAGATGGGAGCATTCAGTAGAAGATCAAGCTTGAGATTTCTGGCGCTTGCTGTGCTGCTGGATAGGCTCTTTGACCTATAATATTTTTCAAAAAAAATGACACAATTGCTACTCAGATACTATCTTGTGATTGATTATAGACATTCGTTTGGGGAAATCATATAACTTGCTTCTTACCGTGCTTGTTTTCCTAAAACGTTTGTCCTGGCTTGCCCTGCTTTCCATTGCCACATCCATCTCATCACCTTGGTGAGAATTAGTAACAGTCCGGCCATTTTCAGCACCAGGCACAAAACTCTCCCTCGAGGCTGCTGGCTGCTGAATTTGTTACAAAGAAAAATGCAGGTGAAATTTTTAGTAACACTGAGAAAAAAAAAAAATAGAGAAATGGTGTAAAATAGTTCATGGATTGAATTAAAAACCTCGGCCTTGCTGGTAGGAGTACTCCCACCAAGTTCCCTTCTCCTGGAAACACCTTGTTGATCTGTCCTGATGGAGCCGTTAATGTGTGGTTCAGATCTGCCTCTTGTTCGTGTGACATCAGATCCAATGGAGTGAAGGCCCCCGCAAGTGGACAAGTCCTTGTACTTGTTTCCTAATATACCATACCATAGGAATTAATTTGAAACAAAAATGAAAATTTGGTTTGTAAATTACGGGCAGTGGAAAGTGAGGCAGGTATGAATGATTGAGTTACCCGCACGATCGAGTTCTGGATGGTTGGACATGTCTAGAGTTTGTTTCTTGTCAACCTCCTGATATGGATACAGATAGAGGTCATAAACATATAGAAGAAAAAAAAAATATTGATTTACCAGATATACAGCAATTGTAGTTATACCATAGCATCTGATATTGTTAAGAGCTTTGTGACTTCAATCAGCTTTTTCTTAGTCAGGTCGGTGTGGACCACACGCTTGCCTGGGACAACAGAGAATTTATTATATGTAAATGGAAGATATTCGTGTTGGTGAGAAAAATGGATATTCGCATCCTATATTTTACCGAGTTTGCGACTGCTGCCAGCCTCAATGAAGCCGTCTTGTGTCATTTTGTCAATGAGCTTACGAACTGTATTTGGGCTGGCTTCACCTTCAAGTTTGCTCTTAAGTTTTGGTACTGTTATGTATTCCAGTGGCAGAGTATGATATAATGCCTGAGACCAAGAGCCACAGTTAGATATTTCAAATTATTATTTAAATGTGAAAATGGTGCTCTCAGGGATGCAACTATACTCTGATAGATGAACTGTCTTGAGCAAAACATTACTGATAGTTGGCATTCTCAAGTTGAAACATCAAATGCTAGGGAATGTAGAGGTTCATTGGAAAAACTTATGTGAATATCTGGACTTTTGAATAATTTGTCCATAAATAACCATAAACTTCTCTATTCTGAAGCTGCATCTTCCAAGTACCCAAAAACAAAGCACGCCCCCAAAATATAGAAATGACGAGTAATATTGTCAACAAGACTAAAGTTAAGTGATGCTACAGGAGAAACTGATTGTAGGAACTACCACAGCTAAGTGAACTCATGAAAACCATGAATGAAATAAAATAGAAGCTCACAGAAGATTTATACCTTCATGTACATGCGATCTACCCCCATATATCCATCTTTTCCATATTGTGCTACCATTTGTACATCAACTTCTTCTTTCACAGCATCAAACTCATATTCAAATTTCTGAAGATACAGATCATTAGGCGAAATAGATATAGCTCAGCAAAAGTATATCAATCAGAAACATGAAGGCAGGAATAGAAAGAAAATTAACCTTTTTACTGTTGATGACATAGCTCTCTCCTTCAGCTTTTGATATAAAACTTTCCTTCACAAGCCTGTCCATAAATTCTGGAAACAGGAAGATTCAGCCAGAATCAACAACCAGAAAATACAGTAACTATGACAACCATGTTTCTACTAGTTTTATGAACAAGGGTCCTCCAGATACCTTCAATCAGTACCTGCACATATTGAATTTTAAATATCAATACCATAAACCAGAAAATTTGGATGCTATAACCAGTAAATTTTTGGCTCAATGTATAAAGTTTCCTTCTAAAGAAGAGCATCAAAGGAGGTAGATAGTCCCTACCACGGAGATATCAGGGAAATATGAGAGGACATCAGTGAGCTCAATTGTGTCAAGGTGGTATGAGCTGATCCAATCCTTTACTCGTCCCAATTGTTGTTCATCTTCTGGTAATTCTTGGGTATCATCTGCATTTTATAAGACACCAATTAGAATTCAATCTGAGCCAATTCAATATAGAAGTGTAGCTCAGGTTTCATGCTTATCTAGATGGCACCTTCATCAATTGCTTCATTATCTTCGTGCAGTTGTCGCTTCTCTGTTACACAACATTCTAGAAGTACTTTTGTGTAGCCAAAAAACAACTGAACAAAATCTACTAAGATTTTACAAGAATTTACCTGTCGGTGCCACAATAAATCGATCATCATCTGAATCGTTGGTCTGAAGTAGGAAGTGAAAAGAAGATAATTTTTATGTCAAAGATTGTGATATACCAAATTTATGTTTAACAGGAAATGATAGATAATAGAGTAGTGTATTCAATTAACATTTTACATCACTGTCAGATTCACTGTATTCATCCTTTTGGATAGAATCAGCTCCCAAGCTAACATCATTATCTTGATTGTCATTGTTTTCGTCCTCACAAGGATCAAGCCTGCTCTTAACCTGTTGATTTCAATTAAGACATTAGTAAGGCCTGCAAGTGGAGAGAAAGACCCCTTGTTCTAAAGTTGCATACCTTCAGGGCTAGTACTAAATGCTTGCTGTTTACTTTACCCACTTCCATCTTCAAAGGATTTCCTGTCCATGGATTATGAGCTTCCTCTTCTGTGCAGCCTCTGAAGAAAGGGGGCTCATAATCCATTGGCTGTAATATCAGGGAAAGAAGGTGAAAATTTTAAATTCCAGTTTCTGAATAATGCAAAGTAATTTTCATTTCTCCCGAGACAAAGTGTTACCACTTGCACTTTGGGGGAGCAGAGTATTATCATCACATACCAGTCTTTCATTACTATATATGATAATTCAATATTCTACAGCCTCCCCACTAACTACAGATCAAGACTACAAAAATAACCACAGTGAATATTTGAATGAGTTGACAAACTTCCCCATCAAAAAATCCACACAACATAATCTTTTCCTCAATCTGAATTTTAATATTAATATTCCAGTAGCTAGAGTTGATGCCAGACATTTTCTGGTGCTGCCCTTGACAAAAGTTTCACATGAAGGTGCACTTCTACTCTTCTACTGTCTACTTCTTTCATATGGGTAACAAAAGCAGTAACTTATGTAGTAAAACTATGAATCATAAAATCAATTAAGTATAAGCTTACTGTGACATCGTCGTAGTAAAGAAGCTTCATCAGCACAGTGCGCTGAGAGGATACAACGAGACAAATTAGCTATATCAGGAAACAAAAAGTACGAACAGATAAACCAGAGAAATCCATGTAGGTGAGACATTCTCCAGCTTATACCTCGTCTGGCATCTTGTCCAGAGTTCTCATCAGTTGAATTAGTGTGCGGACCATTTTGCATGCAGAACTCCTGTAGTTAAATATTTTCATATTTATTGTGGAAATAGAGATAAAGAATAAATCAGACGAAGCTACACGTATTCAACTACCTCATCTGAGTAGGGGTTATTTCCGTCATGGAGTTATGTGTAAATTTTCCTCCCTTCTTTGTCCCACTACGATTAATGTTCATTGAGACCTCCTGACTGTCAGCACTGGAATAGCTGAATGAAACTGCAACAAAAACCCATCATCAGTGGCTGATCAAACCAAAAATGATAAAAGTATTGAACACAAAAGGTTTGGATGGAACTTAAGCGTCAAGTGTGCAAATATTCATTCATTTTTGGATATAGTAATTACTATTGGTAAACACTTGAAATCCTTCTGGCAAATGTTTAGGATAAAATAATTAGCACAAATGCACAATTTTGTATTATGACTTTTCAGTTATAATATGAATTTCTTCTCTAAGTGTCATTCTGGAAATGGCGGTTTCCTGAAGACTTACATGTATATTCCTCAATCATTGAACCATCTACTGCCTCACAGACACAGAACAAGAGTGTTTTCAGATATTTTTTCTGCAGAGCATCATAAACACCTATAGAGAAAGAAGAGCAATAGAAAGGAATGAGCTACAGAGCATGGAAATGGAATGAATATAAGCTTTTAACAAAATTTTGCATCAAATACCTTTCTCCATCCAATCAATGAGTCTGCGCGATTCAGCATCCATAGGCATAAGTTTTTTAATCTTCATGTCTGTTACAAGTGAAGGTTAATTAATTGAACTCAACAGCTGGAGCATAAGTAGCAAGGATGACCGTAAGTTGCCTAACTTACCCAGAGCTGGAACAGACTTATCATTAAAATATTTCTCTGGGAAAAGTCCTCTGATGTAACTGATATTGAATATAGCAATACGCAACAGATTCCTTGTCTGAAGAAATTAAAAGGCAATCTTAGCATGCTTGTCACACAGATTTTATTTCATATAAGGACTAAGATTTTAATGTTATCCACAATTAAATAAGCTACAGAAGAAACTAAGTTAGCACACAACACTGTTATCAGAGAACTAACCAGCATACCACTTCAAAGACAGTACAAGGCAATTCAATGAGTGCAATCGGACTTATAACGAGAATCATATATTAGTTACAATCCTAGAACAGTGGGTACTACAGGTATTCCAGTTCACATGCTTACAAATATATGAACCTCACATGAATGGAATGCATTTGAAGAATAAATAATTTTCAAAACGTTAACGGCGACCTCAATAATAACTCCAAGTATATTATATCTTTGTAAATACAGAAATTTCAAAGTTTCAAGTGGTAGTTGCAGAGATGTTATATTTTATGAACAGTAAACTAAAAATTATTAAACACTCTTCAAAGGCTATCGCACACTAAGCAAATGCTACCAAAATTGATATATGGAAACTCTACAACCAGATAGACCAGATCTGCGTAACATCTGTATTCAACAACATGCTGGTAGTAAATTTGAACTCCAGCATAACAACCTTGCTGGTACAGAATCACATTCTTATTGCAAACTGTAAATCTGCTCATGAAACCAAGAAAATCAACTCGAGAGAGAATTATTGATATTTCACCAAGTTCAATAGCTCCCATTCTGTAAGAAAATCTCACAAGCAACATTTATCTCTGCTATATGATAATGCATTCAGAGTAAAATGTGGAAATAGATTGAAGAAGGTGGCTCAGTAATACAGATACAGAATCTCATGTAACTGAACAACTGCAGATAGCTTGAATACTAGGCAGAAGTCAAAAAAATAAAAATACGCGAGATTATCTGCATATTGTCTTACGGCAAGTGTGGAGATAAAAATAGATCAGACGAAACAAAACTGATCCGCTATAATATGTATATACGGATTTGAATTCTGTGAAGGGTAACATCCATATCAGCATCCAACATTATCAGGTCGATTGAAAGGAAAAGCTAATAAACAGAATTTCAGATTGAAACACGCACAAATGAACATGAACTCTGGTTCACCACTTAATCCAACATTCAATAGAAAAAAACGAGAAAAAGCAAAGATGAAAGAGTGATTTACGAGCAGAAGCGAGTCCTGCTCGGTGATCTCAGATTCCTTCACTTTCTGCGCGACAACCTGAGATGAAAGCAAGAGCACGGCAATGGGTAACCGGAAGCTAGCAAGATAAAAACAACGTAAAAACGTACAACGGTGTTCTTCTACGAGATATTTCTCTTAGCTCACCATTGTTTTAGCCCAGAGAGAAGCTTCTAGTTATCGGAAATTTTGCTATGAGAGAGTATAGAACAGAATTGAACTGGCGGGAGGTGTTGGGGGGTTATATGTAATGTATGCTTTGCGTGACTACTAACTGTGGTTAAACTTATATCTACCATGATTAGGTCGTGGTTAACAGCACGAGGGACGTGTGTGCATACTTGCTGTGATTGCGTAATTTTGCTACATAAAAAGGGTAGGTTTGTAGTTGGACTAATCAGTGTAAAAAAGAAAGGCAATTGGTCTATAACTCGGAGATAAAAAAATAAATAAATAAATAAATAAAATAATTATTAAATATATTATCATTTATGATTGTAAATATTAATTTAATTAATTACGTTCACCGATCATAAGTACTTAAAATATTTAATATAATCATCAGAATAACCATGTTAGAAATCACACTACCTTAATGAAAAATTTAAAATAATAATATATCTTTCTAAAATGTAGTCAACTTAATCATAAAAAAAAAAAGTTAATCTCCATTGGATATATGATTTGTCATGATAATATAATTAAAAATAAATTATTATATTATAAAATAATATTTGATGGTTGGGTATAATTTAGAATTATAAATTACACCTTAGAATTATCTATGTTAATTGAAAAACTATTCAAGTTTTTAAAAACATAATATTTATTATATAATATTTCATAAATAAAAATTAGTAAATAAAATAGTCAAGTATCATAATTTATGTTATAGCACTTGGTAATTATGGATATATATAATATATCTAAATATTCAAATGGATACTAAGTATTTAACTCATTATATGGACTGAAAATATAAAAATAAAAATATAAACAACAAATATTATGGGTTAAAATTAAATATAAACAAAAAATAAACTATTTAACTATGAAAAAATTGTGTTGCATAAGGATTAAAGTTACTAAATTATCAAACATTTTAACATTTCATTCACTTAGAATTATAATAAAGCAAGATAAATATTATGGGTTAAATGTTGGTCAACTATCGAGCAATGGGCAAATTATGAATTGTTAAAAAAAAATTATAAGACTAAGATAATCGACAATTTTATAAGTAGATGTAAGTGATTATAAGCAAATATCATATGATCTTATAAGTTTATAATATTTTATACACTTATAAATAATAAATTTTATATACTAAATAGTCAAGTCCTACCAAAAAGATAAAATAGAAAAAAAGTAATAATAAATAAATAAATTTCATATTATTACTAAATTGTATATTGTCTTAAATAATTTAATAATATTTAAATTATAAATTATTTTTCATAATATACCCCGTGCATCGCACGAGTATCATGTTAGTATATAGTTATAAATAGAAACACCCCGTACCTCTATATATCTCTTATACATCGCTTAAGTCTGACTAACATTGTAGTTGTCTACATTAAAAATTGACCCCTTGAAAATATCCTCAATTTTGTTCCTCTTGCCCTAGCCGCTCCATTTCATCGGTTGTGCCTCCCCCACCGGCGACCCAGTTTCTTGCGATTTCGGCGGCATCTGGCTTGGCGGCACGGCTATGGCGTTCTCTCTCTCTC